TAGGTGCAGAAAAGGTTTCGACAGAATTCAACACCCATTTATGATAAAAAAACCCTCCAGAAAGTAGGCATAGAGGAACCTTTCCTCAACATAATGAAGGTCATATAGGACAAACCCACAGCCAACATTGTCCTCAATGGTGAAAATCTGAAACCATTTCCAGTAAGATCAGGAAAAGACAAGGTTGCCCACTCTCACCACTCTTATTCAACATAGTTTTGGAAGTTTTAGCCACAGCAATCAGAGAAGAAAAGGAAATAAAAGGAATCCAAATTGGAAAAGAAGAAGTAAAGCTGTCACTGTTTGCAGATGACACGATAGTATACATAGAGAATCCTAAAGATGCTACCAGAAAACTACTAGAGCTAATCAATGAATTCGGTAAAGTAGCAGGATACAAAATTAATGCATAGGAATCTCTTGCATTCCTATACACTAATGATGAAAAATCTGAAAGTGAAACTAAGAAAACACTCCCATTTACCATGGCAACAAAAGGAATAAAATATCTAGGAATAAACCTACCTAAGGAGACAAAAGACCTGTATGCAGAAAATTATAAGACTCTGATGAAAGAAGTTAAAGATGATATAAATAGATGGAGAGATATGCTATGTTGTTGGATTGGATGAATCAATGTTGTGAAAATGACTATTCTACAGAAAGCAATCTACAGATTCAATGCAATGCCTATCAAATAGTCACTGGCATTTTTCACAGAACGAGAACAAAAAATTTCACAATTTGTCTGGAAACACAAAAGCCCCCGAATAGCCAAAGCAATCTTGAGAAAGAAAAATGGAGCTGGAGGAATCTGGCTCCCTGACTTCAGACTGTACTACAAAGCTACAGTCATCAAGACAGTATGGTCCTGGCACAAAAACAGAAAGATAGATCAATGGAACAGGATAGAAAGCTCAGAGATAAACGCACACACATATGGTCACCTTATCTTTGGTAAAGGAGGCAAGAATATACAGTGGAGAAAAGACAGCCTCTTCAATAAGTTGTGCTGGGAAAACTGGACAGCTACATGTAAAAGAATGGAATTAGAATACTCCCTAACACCATACAGAAAAATAAACTCAAAATGGATTAAAGACCTATCTGTAAGGCCAAGTACCATCAAACTCTTAGAGGAAAACGTACACAGAACACTCTATGACATAAATCTCAGGAAGATCCTTTTTGACCTACCTCCTAGAGAAATGGAAATAAAACCAAAAATAAACAAATGGGACCTAATGAAACTTAAAAGCTTTTGCACAGCAAAGGAATCCATAAACAAGACAAAAAGAAAACCCTCAGAATGGGAGAAAATATTTGCAAATGAAGCAACTGACAAAGGATTAATCTCCAAAACATACAAGCAACTCATGCAGCTCAACAGGAAGAAAACAAACAACCCAATCCAAAAATGGGCAGGAGACCTAAATAGAGATTTTTTCAAAGAAGATATACAGATTGCCAACAAACACATGAAAGAATGCTCAACATCATTAATCATTAGATAAATGCAAATCAAAGCTACAATAAGATATCATCTCACACCCGTCAGAATGGCCATCATCAAAAAATCTAGAAACAATAAATGCTGGAGAGGGTGTGGAGAAAAGGGAACCCTCTTGCACTGTTGGTGGGAATGTAAATTGATACAGGCACTGTGGAGAACAGTATGGAGGTTCCTTGAAAAACTAAAATTAGAACTACCATACGACCCAGCAATCCCACTACTGGGCGTATATCCTGAGAAAACCATAATTCAAAAAGAGTCATGTACCAAAATGTTCATTGCAGCTCTATTTACAATAGCCAGGACAAGGACAACCTAAGTGTCCATCAACAGATGAATCGATAAAGAAGATTTGGCACATATATACCATGGAATATTACTCAGCCATAAAAAGGAATGAAACTGAGTTATTTGTTGTGAGGTGGATAGACATAGAGACTGCCATACAGAGTGAAGTAAGTCAAGAAGAGAAAAACAAATAGCGTGTGCTAACACATATATATGGAATCTAAAAAAGGAAAGGAAAAAAAAGTTCAGAAGAACCTAGGGGCAAGATCGGAAAGAGATGCAGACCTACTTGAGAATGGACTTGAGGATATGGGGAGGGGGATGGTAAGCTCGGACAAAGTGAGAGATTGGCATGGACATATATACACTACCAAACGTAAAATAGATAGGTAGAGGGAGGCAGCCACATGGCACAGGGTGATCAGCTCGTTGCTTTGTGACCACCTGGAGGGATGGGATGGGGAGGGTGGGAGGGAGGGAGATGCAAGAGGGTAGAAATATGGGGACATGTGTGTATGTGTAACTGATTGACTTTGTTGTAGAGCAGAATCTGACACACCATTGTAAAGTAGGTATACTCTAATAAAGATGTTAAAAAAAGTTATAATAAATGATGGCCATAGAATGCTGAACATTCATCATTAGTAGGTACTCTACAATATACGCAACTACTGTCTTTCACAAGTGATTTGTATGCTTATCAAGAATAAGTTGTATTTGTTTCCAGATCTCTAATCAGCTTTACTATAATTAAACAGTTTAAATGTAACATAACAGGATGAATTATAAGTGTAAAGATAATTGTTCTGTTTCCAAAAATTAAGTATTTTGTAAAGACTCAAAAGTGAATTACTAAAAAAGAAACCTACTGTCAAATTAGAGGTGCTCAAGATAACTGTAAAAGGCTAGGAGAAATAAAAAAAAAATTAAACAGGATTCTGCACTCATATTATTTAAAAAATGTTTTTAAGTGTTGATTTGAGGTTTGGGACTTCCCTGGCAGTTCAGTGGTTAAGACTCCTTGCTTCCACTGCAGGCGGTGCAAGTTAGATCCCTGGTCAGTGCAACTAAATCCCGCGAGCTGCGTGGGTGTGGCCCCCGCAGCCAAAAAAAGGCGTTCATTAGATTTTAAAGAAACCTCTAAACTGCAAACATTAGAAGACATATTACAGATATGGATAATTATAAGAAAGATGTTATGGACCTTTAACTAGGAGACTCATACTCATAGAAAAGTCCTACTTCAAAAGACAGAAAAATGAACACACATCATGTTTTAAATTGAAATAAAATATTTAAGATACATATTTATGATTTTTAAAAAACTTCTTACTTTAACATTTTCAATTAATTGTTAACTACTGGTCCTGATAATATCAAATTAGAAGGCTCCTACTGTATACCTACAAGTTTTCATATAGTTTTGGGCAGGGGAGTCACAGATTCTCTTAAGTCTATCATGGATCTCAGGATAAGAACCCATGTTTTCTCTCTCTCTCTCTCTCTCTCTCTCTCTCTATATATATATATATATATATATATATATATATATATATTAGAATTCACCAAATATTACATGTGATGCTGTTATATGACAGTCAAAGAAAAGCAAAGGTCTCAACTCTAGGAATTTAAGTAACAATCATTATTTAACTACAGAAGAACTTTTAGGAACTCACATTATATCTTTTACCATAGAAATTTTTATTTGGAGTCCCGTAATTCTTTTGTTTTTATTTTCCTTCTGTTAAAGTAAAATTAAACTTCATACTTTAGTTTTAAAATTAAAAATAAGATGCACACTATACTATGATCCTGTTCTTACGAAACTGTATCTATTCATCCATCTATCTTTCTATGTCTATGTATGCATGAAGAAATGTCTAGAATAGCATTCTATCAAATTTTAACACATATTTTTCTGGGTGGAAAAATTTCAGGTGGTTAGTTGGTTGTTTTCTTATACTGTTTTGTAATGCTTCAATTATTTAAGAATAAGTAGGTACCAATTTTATTGAAAACAAACCCCACAAAGTCATTATTCTAAACAAACAAAAACAATCAGTGGCAGCATCATGCACTGGTAAGAGAAATGGACAGGGAAGCAAGATGTCTGAAGCTGAATAGAACCCTGGACAAATCAGTCACTGAAACTTCTCCGGGCCACAGTTTCCAAATTGGCAAATGAGAAAATGAGGAAGTTGAACCTAATGAGCTCAAAGGTTTCTTTTAGTAATAACATTATACGAACTTAAGTGGCTAATTCCTATGTAAATTCTTAGAAAATATTAAAAAAAATAAGTTTATCATTTTATCCATCAATTACCTCAAGTTTAACTAGATTTAATGAATAATGCTCTCTTCCTTTGCTGTAAGCTTTTATAGCTTGATCATATTAGAAACTACATAGGGCACTATATCCTTGACATTCTCAAAATACTAAATAGGCAGCTTTATCTACATCAATAATTAAAGAGATGAAGTAATGAGAATACAAGTACAGAAAGTCCTGGTAACACCAAACAATACTTCAAATGTGAGGGGGAAATGTTAAATGTTGGTAATTAAAGGAAGAAGGAATGGAAGAAAAAAACTATATCCTAAAGCTCTCCTTCTCAATCCAAATATGTATTAAAAAATAAAATAACAATACTAACACAAACTCTTGAAATCATTAGGAGAATCTTTGGATTTGTAGGGTAAACTCACAAGAAAACGACAAAACAACTATAATATGGATTTCAAAATTGAGTGTGCATATGTGTGTGTATTTTTTTTAATCCTCAGAAGCCTCTGTTTTCTATCAGTTGGTTATTTCTTGCATTATGTTAATCTGCTGAACTGACAACTGCCAGCAGGTATAATTTTCTGTTAATTAAAAACTGAATTTTACACAGCTCAACAATGGAGCAGTATCTCTCCTCATAAATTCTAATTCATTGTCTCTGAACTTAATCCTCAAATCAGCATTTACTTCCTTGAATTATATTTAAACAAATTCATCCAATTTATTTGTGATAATCATGTAATCAACCATGGCATTTACCACGCTGAGATGCTAATGTGATTTTGCCAACATAAGAGAATACCAACTATATTTCTCTGAACATTATGTTTCAGGTGCTGTATGACATTTAAACATTGTCACACTGAGTTTAAACAAGTACTGAAATGAAGCTATTTCTTAAAAAGAACTTACCTTTGCAATTATTACTGATTGAACAGGGTAGCAAACAGTTGCTCCTAAAGTGGCCAGTCCCAGTGGATAAGCAATTCTCTTAAACCTAGAACCTATGACATTCAAACAAACTATTAAACTCCAAACAGATGCTACCAGAGACTTGATGCTTTTATAACTTTCATGCTTTCTTTGTTCCCCTTTAAGCCATCACCCTATGTTAAATTTTCTTTAGGTAATAATACCAATCAAGATGATAGGTAAAATGTCTTTAAGTATTACAGTTCAATTAATACCCCTTAGTTGTCATGTCTAATTTAAGAAAAGTATTCTCAATCTAACATTGATAATTACCTACACAAAGGGGGTTGATGATTTTCTTCTTTTAAAAAACTAGGTATTGGGCTTCCCTGGTGGCGCAGTGGTTGAGAATCTGCCTGCCAATGCAGACGACACAGGTTCGAGCCCTGGTCTGGGAAAATCCCACATGCCATGGAGCAACTGGGCCCGTGAGCCACAATTACTGAGCCTGCGCGTCTGGAGCCTGTGCTCCGCAACAACAGAGGCCGCGATAGTGAGAGGCCTGCGCACCGCGATGAAGAGTGACCCCCACTTGCCACAACTAGAGAAAGCCCATGCACAGAAATGAAGACCCAACACAGCCATAAATAAATAAATAAATACATTGTGTATTATTTAAAAAAAAAAAAAAAACTAGGTATTTTTTCATGTCCTAAGAAACCCAGAGTTGTAACCACATTTTTTTCAAGTATCTAATAAAGCATGACAATATAGAGAATTAATCAACGACCATTTTTGTGACACCATGTTAAACTGAAATGGACTCTTCAGAGATCCTTTTTTTTTTTTAGTGGTACGCAGGCCTCTCACTGTTGTGGCCCCTCCCGTTGCGGAGCACAGACTCCAGACGCGCAGGCTCAGTGGCCATGGCTCACGGGCCCAGCCGCTCCGTGGCATGTGGGATCCTCCCAGACTGGGGCACAAACCCGTGTCCCCTGCAACGGCAGGCGGACCCTCAACCACTGCGCCACCAGGGAGGCCCCAGAGATCCTTTTTTGATTAAGTCCTTAGATAGCTAAAGGATCTAACTAACTAGTCAGCTAAGGATTTTAAAAGGGACATAATTCCTTCGTGTCACTGATTTTGAATAGTAAAGTAATAATTTAATAGAGAAGAAGAAATATCATATGATGTTGCTTATATGCAGAATCTTAAAAAAAGTGTGACAAATGAGCTTATTGACAAAACAGAAACAGACTCACAGACTTGGAGAACAAACTTATGGTTACTGGGGGGGATGGGTAGCGGGGAGAGATAGGGAGTTTGGGATTGACTTGTACACATCACTACTATATTTAAAATGGATAACCAACAAGGACTTACTGTATAGCAGAAGGAACTCTGCTCAATATTCTGTAACAACCTAATTGAGAAAAGAAATTGAAAAAGAATAGATACATGTATATGTAAAACTGAATCACTTTGTTGTACACCTGAAACTAACACAACATTGTTAATCAACTGTACTCCAATATAAAATAAAAAGTTAAAAAAATTGCAAGTAACTTGCAATAATTCATTCATTTCCAAAAGTGCCTTAACTAAGCATCTGAGTCATTTTCAAACTTTCTTTTTAAATAGCAAAATCCTTTAAAAAAGTCTTTCAAATAGAATCTCACCTGGAACTTCATATATAAAACCTATAGACTTGAAGCTACTCTGGTTAGCCTGAGGGAGTGAAGCTCATTATCAAGCCCTACCTACACCGCTTTTTCCTTATCCCTATACAACCCCTAAACACTTCCATGGAACCCTAGGTTCTATTGAATAGTGTGAAACCCACCACTCTAAGCCATAGCTTACTTCCAACAGACTGTTGGTTGAAATGAAAACAATATGTATTTTAAATGCTTGTCTGGGTACCCTGGACTGTAAATGTGATCTGGACAATTAGATGATGGGGTTTCTAATTAGGGTAAGTACTTTTATTTTCTGGAACAGCTCTTACAACGCTTAATTTAAAAATGAGACACCCTATCTGGTATATCAGTAAACGCTATGATGAAAAATACCTGGCAATGTTTGCAGGCAACTTTACAGTTTAGGGTAGGTAAAACCAAGATGTATTTCTCTGTCCGGTTTACCTATTAGTAAGGAGGCCTTCTACAGTCATGTCTACAACAGACAGAGCATTGAGGGAGGCTGCTTCAACCTTTACTGTAGCTTTCCTTTAGATATTGACAGGTTTTTGTGATACTGGGAAAGAGGGTCTAGCTATATTAAAATATGTCTTGCTCACTATTATTCTAGCATCTGTAGTTTGGTTGTTGATTTTACTGACCTAGCATCCTTTAATGTAGGTTTCCTTGACTCAGCCAAATTCCCCTAATTGTGCTGCTCCTAAACTTGGAAGGTGGCAGTTTTTCCTTGGTGTGTCATCTTACTTTATTTTTTATTTACTTTTTTTGTAGTTGTTATACTTTTTTGAACCCTTTTAACACATTTTTGACCAGAGATGTATTATGGCCACAGGTGTCAGTTTCTGCAAAAATCCCCCAGTCAATAATGTGTTAAAATTGAAGTACAGTTAATTTACAATGCTGTGTTAGTTTCAGGTGTACAGCAAAGTGATTCAGTTATATATATTCTCTTTCAGATTCTTTTCCATTATAGGTTATTCCAAGATATTGAATATAGTTATCTGTGTTATATAGTAGGTCCTTATTGTTTATTTTACATATAGTAGTATGTATCTGTTAATCCCAAACTCCTAATTTACCTCCCTACACCCCCACCTCCGCTATCCCCTTTGGTAACCGTAAGTTTGTTTTCTATGTCTGTAAGTCTATTTCTGTTTTGTAAATAAGTTCATTTACATAATTTTTTTAGATTCCACATATAAGTGATATCACATGGTATTTGTCTTTCTCCGTCTGACTTACTTCACTTAGTATGATAATCTCTAGGTCCATCCATGTTGCTGCAAATGGCATTATTTCATTCTTTTTTATGGCTGAGTAATATTCCATTGCATACATACATATACACACACACACACACACACACACAATGGAATATTTCTCACACACACCACATCTTTGTTATTATTTTCAATATTAAAAAGACATACATTCATCTTCTCTTTACTTGATATGGAAGGCCAGTTTACAAGAAAATAAATTTCACTTGGGTTCAATAGCCCTACTCCCATAAGTAGAAAGGGACTCTAGACACAGACACTAACTAGCTATGTAATATGAAATCACTGAATGATTTCCTTTCTCTGGACCTCTAGCTGTAGCATTATAGGGTTAGACTAAACCAACATCTTTCATACATTTTTGACCATGACTCATACTAAAGAACAAATTTTACATTATGACCTCTCTTTCTCTCTTTCACACACACACACATACACACTCCACTGAAACAGAAGTTTCACAATATTTATCCATACTGAGTACAAAACACTCTGATATTTGCTATTGTCCTCTATTTTATTTTTTAATAAAATGCTTCCTGAGAGTCACCATATTTATTTCACTACCTACTTATAAAGTGAGCTCTGTAATTTGAAAAATACTGGGTTAGATTATTCTAGCTCTGACACTTGGAGTCATTGTGAATGACCTAAGGAACATTTTCTCTTACAAGTGGATTTTGAGTTTCTCACTGAGAAATGAGTAATATGCTTTGGCCGGTTTCATTCAAAATTTAATTCTTTCTCTTATTGTTACATGTGGTGATCCTGATTTTCAATGTCTTTCCTAATGAATAATTTATAACATGTATTCAATTAGAAGTTGCATATAGTGTTAGAATAAAAAATATGATACAAGCTATGATTAATACTAGCTATAGGGAAGATCTATTGGGATAAGATATATGGGCTAGAGTTAGAATGCTGGAATGTTCTTATAATTCAGAGGTTTTGTATCTGATTAGGTGTACTTGGGTTAAGGCTACTTTAAGGACTAAAGCTGAGCAAACCAACCATAACATATCTGATGTCAGATTCCAGGTTGGTTCAGAGATGTGACTTGCAACAACATGTAATTTAATTTGGGGACAATGACTGGCACTGGGGACAGAGGATGAATGGAAGGTGCCCCAGATGGCTACCGACCAGAGAACTGCACCAGCTTAGTAAGGGCTTAGGTGAGGAGGGGAGGCAGTAATCCTACTGAGAGAGATTTCTATACCCAGAGATGGAAGATGGGCAAATACAAAATTCACCATGTGCTTATGAAAGAGTTATTTAGTGATGTGCAGAAAAGAGTTAACATATGCCCAAGACTGCCACTGTTAGAAAGGCATGCTTACAGGACTGGCCATTGGCTGGCATCTGGGAACCTGACTGGTAAGCAGTTCACTACACTAATAGAAAATGTTCCCTGAATCAGAAGAGTGGTACAGTAAGTCCCCTACATACAAACGAGTTCCATTCCGAGAGCGTGTTCATAAATCCAATTTGTTTGTAAGTCCAACAGTTAGTCCTAGGTACCCAACTAACACAATCAGCTATACAGTACTGTACTGTAATAGGTTTAAAATACTTTTCACACAAATAATACATAAAAAAACAAACACAAAAAATAAAGAAAACATTTTTAATCTTACAGTACAGTACCTCGAGAAGTACAGCAATACAGTACAACAGCTGGCATACAGGGGCTGGCATCAAGTGAACAAGCAAGAAGAGTCACTGACTGGAGGAGGGAGAGGAAATGGGGGATGTAGAGCTGAAGGATCATCAGCAACAGGAGATAGAGGGCAAGCTGCAATTTCACTCATGCCTGACGTTGATGGCATAGGTTCTGGCTCCTTGTTGGATTCATTTCTATCTACCCTCTAAAAGAAACGATCCAGTGATGCCTGGGTAGTAGCTCTTTTTTCTTGTCACAGATGACACTGTAGCACTGGATTACATTCTGAACGGCTGCTGCAAACTTTGTGTACCATTCTACATTAAGGTCCTGTGCCTCAAAAACTAAGAAAATCCCCTTGCCATTTCCCACGTTGTGAATCTCTTCAGTTCTTCAGTTACTTCTTCCTCTTGTCTCTCTTCATCCTTTCTCTGGGCCTCCTATTCCATCAGGTCTTCATTACTAAGCTCCTCGTGTTGCACAGAAAGCAGTTCAGTGAAGTCGTCCTCTTGCAGATCTAGCTCCAGCTTCTCGCTGAAGGTCACTAAGTTGTTGAAGACCTCTTTGGACTCCTCATCCACCTTTTCAAATCCACGAAAATTGTGAACAAACTGTGGGCAAAGGTTCTTCCAAACCCTATTCATGGTGATGGCCGTAACCTCACGCCAAGCAAAGTCAATGTTTTTTATGGTCTTGTAGATATTATAGTTCTTCCAAAACTGTCGCAAGGTTGTTCCTGATTCGTCACTTGCCTTTACTTCCTGACGAAAAGTGTGACGTAAATAATATTTCTTGAAAGTCGCTATAACTCCCTGGTCCATAGGTTGGATGAGCGATGTAGTATTCGGTGGTAGATGCACTACTTTGACATTGGGATGCAAGTCGTCCATGAATGGGGGGTGGCCTGGAGCATTGTCGAGCAGCAAAAGAATGTTGAGTGGGACATCCTTCTCCAAGCAATATTTCCCTACCTCCAGAATAAAGTGGTGGAAAAAGCAGTCCTGAAAAATGGCCTCTGTAACCCAGGCTTTGGGGTTACTCTTCCACACAACAGGAAGAGAGAGCCCTTGGCTGTTTTAAATGACTCTTGGGTTCTCTGCATGATAAACTAAGAGAGGCTTCAGCTTCATCTTGCTGGAAGCACTGCCACCAAACAACAGAGTTAGCCTATCCTTTGCTGCTTTATAGCCTGGCATCAACTTTTCTTCCTTGCTGATATAACTTCGGTCTGGCATCCTCTTCCAGTACAGTCCTGTCTCATCCACATTAAAAACCTGCTCGGGTAAATACACGCCTTCATCAATAATTTCCTGAAGCATTTTAGGAAATTCCCAGGCAGCTACCATATCTGCACTCACGGTCTCGCCACTTACTTTTACGTTGTAAATGTTGGCTCTAGCCTTGAACCGATGAAGCCAGCCATGCCTGGCATTAAAAGATGGGCCCTCTGATTCTTTGCTGTGTTTCTTCTTCAAGTCTTTATAAAGGCTTTTACCTTCCCCTTGAACCAGCATTAAGCTAAGTGGGTCTTAACACTGATGCTGATCCTGCATCCACACACTGAGAAGTTTCACCATGTCCTCTATCACTTTTCCACGCTTCTTTGATATTATTGTCCACATCACTGGCACAGTAGACTTCACATGTTCCACGATCTTGTTCTTGTTCTTTAGAATCTTGCCGATGGTTGAATGATTCATGTTATAAGAACGAGTGACGTCTACCATCTTTTCGCCTCGCTCCACTCTCTCAATTATTTTCACTTTTGTTTCCATCGTTATCACTTGGTGCTTCTTAGCAACGCCAGACACGTGAACTAACTTACATGATTGGACATGCGAATGCCTGTTCTCATCTCTGAAAGTTTGCAACTTGAAGTTTCATATGTAGGGGACTTACTGTACACTGTGCTTAAACTGTTTATACAAATAAATTCAGAAATTAATATAATGGCATTAAAAGAAAGATTATATATTTTTAACCCTACCTTTTCTCGCTGAAATGAAGCCTGCCAATCCTGAAACTGTAATCACTCCAATTTTCGGAAGAAAATCTCGAGGTGGATTCTTCAAATAGACATATGCATCTCAAGAAATAATTTAAAAATAATATAAATAACTTACTATAATTGACATTCTATATAGGTATGATGAAGAAAAGTTAGAGATTTGCTAAGATAATAGCAGATGGTTTAAACATTCTTCAAAAGAACTACACAAAATAATGATTTGAGCAGCAACTTAAAAAGCCAGTTGTTAATAGTTACTTGTTACAAAATAAAATCTTCCTTCCACAGCTGATTTAATGGTATTTGTTCCCTTAACACAGGCGATTATTACACTTTAATGAAATATAATGCTAGAGTGCACACTAGCATTATATGAAGATGGATTACTATAAAGCAAATTCTTCATTGTGTATGTATTATATTCTTATAATGGAAATGCTTCTGGCCTTATCTGTTCAAACATTGGTAGGATCTAGTAAGAACTGAAATAGATACTTTAGCAGGAAACTTTGAATAACCGTCTAAGGAAACATGCAGCTATCACTCTGTTTGCCACTACTCCCCAGTAAACTCAGAGAAGCCATTGCTCTTGGTTAAAACCAATAAGCAGAAGGAGAAGTGAGTCTAGACAAAAAATAGACGGAAAGGGGGCAGAGGTCCAAATTTCTTGGCTTTTTATATATTTAAATGGTTTCTGGTTCCATGCAATCCAAAAAACACACTCTTTCTTCATAATTATTTATTTAATTATTAATTATTTATTTAATGGAATTTAATCATATTCCTCAAGGTTGATGAGGAATATAATTTGGAATTAATTGGAATTAATTCCTACACACATTAAATAATGATAATACATACACAGAGGCATTTCAACATCACAGAGGCATTTAAAATTTTAGGTGTTCTTTCTGTCCCCCAATACACATTTATTTTGACAACTGGCTTAGTCTAAAAAATGTAAGGGAGCTATACCTGCTGCCAAACAACATTATCAAACTAACGAGTCAAATACAATTGTTTTCCAACACTAGCTCAAATATTCTAGGGTGACTAATTGATATCGTGTTTCCTAGCAATCAATAGCAAAATACTGTGTATTTTAACATCAAATAGTACTTATTTAAACTAATTAATAACAATGGAGATATATGTTTAATTTATGCTGTATGAGTATACAATATGAGTTTCGTACCTAAAACAGCCAGTTTGAGTCCAGGTGTTGCCACTTACTAGCTATGTGACCTTGGTAATCTACTTAACCCTTCTAAACCCCAGTTTCCTCATCTGTAGAATGGGAGTCATTATAATACCAATATCCAAAAATTTGCTACAAAATAAAATTAGATAAATTATGTAACATGCTCATCATAATGCCTAACATATAATTGCTAAATAAATAACAGATACTATTGCTTTGTTATTATTATTATAAACTGCTATATAGAGTATCTTCTGAGTTGGTAAAACATGATAATGGATAACATACCAAGTTTATTTTTCTCACATTTAAACCTTGCAAGTTAAAAAGACAATAGAACATTTCTAATTACAGACAGTTCAGTCAACCTACCTTTTCCAAATTGTACTGTATCCATTATCCCATATTTCATGAAGACATAAACACCCTAAGTAAGAAGGGGGAAAAAAGGACATCTGCATTTTTGAAGATGTTGACAATTAGGTCAAATAGCCCACATCTTTGAGATTATATGAAATTGCACCAAAATCTAAATCTAGTTTTCCTGTTTATTCTCTATGTGGACACTTGTTGAACTTAGCTTCTCTTCACTTCTTGCTTTTCATTCTATTTAACATGGATACTTGTCTTCTATATTCCTCATAGAAATGGGTAAAGTAATGCCAATAAAATAATCAGAGCAGCTCACAGAAAAGTTATTACAGAAGTACAAAGATTTATCATCTTATTTTATGATAGCGTAGAAAAATGAATGGAATTTTTTAGAAGCATGAAGAGAGGTATATTTCAGCTTAGAAGCAACATCTGATTAATAAAGATGAGGCAGCAACAACATAATGATTTGTGGAGAAAACAACAAAAAGCCTAAAGAAAAGTGCTTCATCTTCTCTCTTTTTCTTAGTGTTCATTAGAATGAGAAAAATAAATCTAAATAAGACATTTATCTTAGAATAGAGATCATCCTACGCAGACTAGTGTCCATCTTGTTTTCAACAGGAACATAAATTATCTTCAAATCAAGATTATATTAGCCCACTGAAGAGATTAAAGCTTTAAATCAAAGATTCTTTTTACCTGTTTCGAACTATTTATTTTAATGCAAGAAATATTGTTATGCACATTTTTTGATACGTACTATCTCAAGTACATCAGAAGAAGAATGAAGGCATGGAATAATTTACCTATAGTAATTGCCCATAGTCATGCTGTACTCTATTGATAAAACTAGAAAACAGTCTAAATATGTGGTCTCCATCTCTGAACTAGCTGCTATGAAACCATGGGATAAAAACAAAAAAAAAGAGATTTTCAAAGCAAAGACAAAAGAAATGATTATATTAGATAGGAAATAATTAAATTATTTCTATTGATATATCTTGGTATTAGTAACTGTCTCAGACAGATACTTTCATGATGATCAGATGCAGAAGTTCATCCTGTTCATCATGCTTTAAAGCTGTACAAACCAACACAGACCCTAACTGCCACTGAGCTACTTCTCCTTGGGGACTGTCTCTTGAGAAAATTTCACCTCAAAGTTATAATGCTTACTGATCAGTTCATTGGGAACAATGTAACTGTTGAGGAAGAAAACTTTGGGGAAATTTTCCTTAGCTGTGTTTAGGAATTCACTTTTACCACTGGAGGTCGCTGCTACCTAAATTTCGAAACACTAAGGAGTAGGAATAGAAATTGAATTTGCTCTGCGATTCTAAGTTTAATGCAGAATGTAATTTGAGCCGGAGGTAATTTTTAAAGAATAGATTACATTTTAAGAAGAACATTAGAGAGGAAATGTTTACATTGAAGATGAAATGCATTTGAAAGTGCCCTTCTTCAATCTATTCATTTCAGCATATTACCAGAGTAAAAAGTCCTTTTAGTCTTAAATTGGGTGATAGTAACAATAGCAATTTAAAGATCTCACAGGAACAATTAACCTCACTGAAAACAACTTTGAGAACACTATGGAAAATTGGTGTCAGGAGACTTCAGTCTGAATCATCCAGCTGTTGGCATATAGCCTCAGGGGCATGACTCAGACCCTAATTAGTTAAGCTATTTCCTGCTGAGACCAAACTATTAATAGTGTGTAGTACAACTAGTCAAACTATTAAAAGTGTATTATTAGAATTATAAAAGTCTATTAGAATTGTTTGACAGGCACAAATTAAAAAAAAAAAAATAACACCATGTATTCATCAGACATTTTAAATATCTGAAACGACCAGAGTTCACAGATTTGATATTTCATAAGACCACTAGAATTTTCTTTTTAAAAAGAATGGATTGGAAACAAAAAAAGCACAAGGGTTCACAATTGGATAGGTTAGATTTGAGGAAAAGTTGTGTAGTTATTAGGTCAGAATGATGAAAACAATGGTACCACCATTATCATTATGACACTGACACTGGAGATGTTGATGTTAGCACACATCTATGTTGATGCGATGATTATGAAACAGCAGTATTGGACTAGCTTACTCCATCCCTCTGCTGCTGGATAATGCTGAAGGCTAAGTAGTAAAATAAGGTGAATTCTATTTTGCCCAATAGCTGACTATAGTCAAAACGGTCTTATGAACTAAACCTAACAAGTGAATATTTTACTCAGCCAAATAACTAACAATGCAGAAGTAATCTCAGAACTTCATATAAAAGGTCAAGCAATGTTTTGTACATGCCACGTGACATAAATGCTTGCTGAACTACTTTAATCTATGCAGTAGTGGTAGAGTAGATTAAATATGGCCACAAATTCTTTGCTGCTACTCATATTGAGAGATGGTATCTAATGCCCCTCTCATAAAAACTGGGTTGGCCTTGATGACTTGATTTAACAACAGAATGCTGTAGAAGTAACCTTCCTGGACACCTGAAGACAGGTAAGAAGCTTGGCAAATTCTGACTAAGGCCTCTTGTAACATATTCTCTAGGAGCTCTGAACTGTCCATGTAAGTTATCTGACTACCTGAGGCCTGGTGTGGATGCTTCAGTCAACATTCCCAGCTGAGCCCAGCCTTCTAGCCATCTGTGACAAGGTGCCAGTGAAGAGAATGAAGCTGTCTTGGACCCTCTAAATCAGCCCATTCACCTGATGAATACCACTGGGTGGCCTCTGTCAACACCACATGCAATAGAAGAATCAGCTGTCTGAAGTCTGATTAAATTTCTGACTCACAAAATCATGATATAGAACAGTTGCTGTTTTAAACCACTAAGTTTTGGGGTAGTTTGTTACACATCAATGAATAACTGGAACAACTGTTATGTAATAAAATGAGAACACTCTGATATGAAACCACTACCAGAATTCACTTACCTTGCACCAGCCAACATAACGACCAGTTGTAGTGCGAATGGACTCAAAGCCCATTTGTAAATGACCAGGCTGCTCATCAACATACTTAGACTGGAGAGGTGGTGCAGTATATATGGGGAGCTAGAAGGAAAAAAATCCATGTCAAAAATATAAAATAGCTGAACTTCCTTTTCCAGCAGTATGGCAGAATAAGAATCCTCATCAACATTCCTACTGAAAACAACTAAAAATGCTGATAAAATGTATTTTAAGCCAGCTTTTACCTTGATGTCATTTGCCGTAAAACAGATGGTTCATGGAGTATGGGATCAGGAAACAAAACGCAGAATGAGCTTGAGGTGGGCAATCTTACTGGAGAGCCTATAAAATTGGCAACTCAAGGTGCTGCATGCTCAATTTAAGGTTGAACTAGAAATACAGTTCACTCCAAGGAACTGTTAGGAAAACTGATTGTCTCAAAGACTGGGCACTGAGTAGAGAGGAAAGAAATATTTCCTAAGAATTGGCAATCACAAGTGAGAACTCATAATGTGCAGCATAAAACTATCTTGATAATCTAAGAAATCTCAAATTAAGTATACATTTACATTTACTGGACGTTCTAGTCAGTGCATTCAGAAAAGAAAAAGAAATAGAAGACACTAAGTTGGAAAGGAATAAATAAAACTATCTCAAATTGGGAAGATGGTGGAAGAGTAAGACGTGGAGATCACCTTCATCCCCACAGATACACCAGAAATACACCTACACGTGGAACAACTACAGAACAACTACTGAACGCTGGCAGAAGACCTCAGACCTCCCAAAAGGCAAGAAACTCCCCACGTACCTGGGTAGGGAAAAAGAAAAAAGAATAAACAGAGACAAAAGAATAGGGACGGGACCTGCACAAGTGGGAGGGAGTAGTGAAGGAGAAAAAGTTTCCACACACTAAGAAGCCCCTTCGTGGGCGGAGACTGCAGGTGGCAGAGGGGGAAAGCTTCGGGGCCGTGGAGGAGAGCACAGCAACAGGGGTGTGGAGGGCAAAGTGGAGAGATTCCCGCACAGAGGACTGGTGCTGACCAGCACTCAACAGCCCAAGAGGCTTGTCTGCTTACCTGCTGGGGCAGGCGGGGCTAGGAGCTGAGGCTTGGGCTTCGGTCGCAGCCCAGGGAGAGGACTGGGGTTGACTGCGTTAACACAGCCTGCAGGGGGTTAGTGCACCACAGCTAGCAGGGAGGGAGTCCGGGGAAATGTCTGGACCTGCCGAAGAGGCAAGGGGCATTTTCTTCCCTCTTTGTTTCCTGGTGCACAAGGAGAGGGGATTAAGAGCACTGCTTAAAGGAGCTCCAGAGAAGGGCCCAAGCAGCAGCTAACAGTGAGGACAACAGAGATGGGCATGAGATGCTAAGGCTGCTGTTTCCGCCACCAAAAAGGCTGTGAGCGAGCGCAGGTCACTCTCCACACATCCCTTCCGGGGAGCCCGTGCAGCCCTTCACTGCCAGGGTCCCGGGATCCAGGGAAAACTTGCTCGGGAGAACGCACGGCGCGCCTCAGGCTGGTGCAACGTCACGCTGGCCTCTGCCACTGCAGGCTCGCCAAGCATCCATACCGCTCCCAACCCCAGGCCTGAGTGAGCCAGAGCCCCCGAATTAGCGGCTCCTTTAACCCCGTCCAGTCTGAGCGAAGAATAGACGCCCTCCAGCGACCTACACTCAGAGGCGGGACCAAATCCAAAGCTGAAACCCAGGAGCTGTGAGAACAAAGAAGAGAAAGTGAAATCTCTCCCAGCAGCCTCAGGAACAGCGGATTAAATCTCCACAATCAACTTGATGTGCCCTGCATCTGTGGAACAGCTGAATAGACAACGAATCATCCCAAAATGAGGAGATGGACTTTGAGAGCAAGATTTATGATTTTTTCCCCTTTTCCTCTTTTTGTGAGTGTGTATGTGTATGCTTCTGTGTGAGATTTTTTCTGTATAGCTTTGCTTTCACCATTTGTCCTAGGGTTCTACCCAACCGCTTTTTTTCAAAAAAATTTTTTCTTAATAATTATTTCTTATTTTAATAAATTATTTTATTTTATCTTACTTTATTTTATTTTATCCACTTCCTTTCTTTTTCTTCCTTCCTCCCTCCCTCCCGCCCTCTCCGTCTCTCTCTCTCTCTTTCTTTTTCTTTCTTTCCTTCTTCCTACTTTTTCTCGCTTTTATTCTGTGCTGTGTGGATGAAAGGCTCTTGGTGCTGCAGCCAGGAGTCAGTGCTGTTCCTCTGAGGTGGGAGAGACAACTTCAGGACACTGCCGAACTTCAGGACACAAGAGACCTCCCAGCTCCATATAATATCACATGGTGAAAATCTCCGGATCTCCATCTCAAAACCAGCACCCAGCTTCACTCAACGACCAGCAAGCTACAGTGCTGTACACCCTATGCCAAACAACTAGCAACACAGGAACACAAACCCACCATTAGCAGAGAGGCTGCCTAAAATCATAATAAGTCCACAGACACCCCAAAACACACGAACAGATGTGGACCTGCCCACCAGAAAGACAAGATCCAGCCTCATCCACAAGAACACAGACACTAGTCCCCTCCACCAGGAAGTCTACACAACCCACTGAAACCAACTTTAGCCACTGGAGGCAGACACCAAAAACAACGGGAACTACGAACTGGCAGCCCGCAAAAAGGAGACCCTGAATACAGCTTGATAAACAAAATGAGAAGACAGAAAAACACACAGCAGATGAAGGAGCAGGATAAAAACGTACCAGACCTAACAAATGAAGAGGAAATAGGCAGTCTACCTGAAAAAGAATTCAGGAAAATGATAGAAAAGATGATCCAAAATCTTGGAAATAGAATAGAAAAAATGCAAGAAACATTTAACAAGGACATAGAAGAACTAAAGATGAAACAAGCAACGATGAACAACACAATAAATGAAATTAAAAATACTCTAGATGGGATCAAGAGCAGAATAACTGAGGCAGAAGAACGGATAAGTGACCTGGAAGATAAAATAGTGGAAATAACTACTGTAGAGCAGAATAAAGAAAAAAGAATGAAAAGAATGGAGGACAGCCTTAGAGACCTCTGGGTCAACATGAAATGCACCAACATTCGAATAATAGGGGTTCCAGAAGAAGAAGAGAAAAAGAAAGGGACTGAGAAAATATTTGAAGAGATTATACTTGAAAACTTCCCTAATATGGGAAAGGAAATAGTTAATCAAGTCCAGGAAGCATAGACAGTCCCATACAGGATAAATCCAAGGAGAAACCCGCCAAGATACATATTAATCAAACTGTCAAAAATTAAATACAAAGAAAACATATTAAAAACAGCAAGGGAAAAACAACAAATAACACACAAGGGAATCCCCAAAAGGGTAACAGCTGATCTTTCAGCAGAAACTCTGCAAGCCAGAAGGGAGTGGCAGGACATATTTAAAGGGATGAAGGAGAAAATCCTACAACCAAGATTACTCTACCCAGCAAGGATCTCATTCAGATTTGATGGAGAAATTAAAACCTTCACAGACAAACAAAAGCTGAGAGATTGCAGCACCACCAAACCAGCTTTACAACAAATGCTAAAGGACCTTCTCTAGGCAAGAAACACAAGAGAAGGAAAAGACCTACAATAACAAACACAAAACAATTAAGAAAATGGGAATCGGAACATACATACTGATAATTACCTTAAATGTAAATGGATTAAATGCTCCAACCAAAGGACACAGACTAGCTGAATGGATATAAAAACAAGACCCATATATATGCTGTCTACAAGAGACCCACTTCAGAACTAGAGACACATACAGACGGAAAGTGAGGGGATGGAAAAAGATATTCCATGAAAATGGAAACCAAAACAAAGCTGTAGTAGCAATTCTCATATCAGACAAAACAGACTTTAAAATAATGATTATTAGAAGAGACAAAGAAGGACACTACATAATGATCAAGGGATCGATCCAAGAAGGTATAACAATTGTAAATATTTATGCACCCAACATAGGAGCATCTCAATACCTAAGGCAAATATCAATAGCCATAAAAGGGAAAACTGACAGTAACTCATTCATAGTAGGGGACGTTAACACCCCACTTTCACCAATGGACAGATGATCCAATGTGAAAATAAATAAGGAAACACAAGCTTTAAATGATACATTAAACAAGATGATCTTAATTGATATGTATAGGACATTCCATCCAAAAACCACAGAATACACATTTTTCTCAAGTGCTCAAGGCACATTCTCCAGGATAGATATATCTTGGGTCACAAATCAAGCCTTGGTAAATTTAAGAAAATTGAAATTGTATCAAGTATCATTTCCCACCACAATGCCTTGAGACTAGATATCAATTACAGGAAAAGACCCGTAAAATATACAAACATGGAGGCTAAACAATACACTACTTAATAACGAAGTGATCACTGAAGAAATCAAATGGGAAATCAAAAAAATACCTAGAAACAAATGACAATGGAGACTCACTATCCAAAGCCTATGGAATGCAGCAAAAGCAGTTCTAAGAGGGAAGTTTACAGCAGTACAATTCTACCTTAAGAAACAGGAAACATCTTGAATAAACAACCTAACCTTGTACCTAAAGCAATTAGAGAAAGAAGAACAAAAAAAAAAACCCCAAAGTTAGCAGAAGGAAAGAAATCAAAAAGATCAGATCAATAATAAATGAAAAAGAAATGAAGGAAACAATAGCAAAGATCAATAAAACTAAAAACTGGTTCTTTGAGAAGATAAACAAAATTGATAAACCATTAGCCAGACTCATCAAGAAAAAAAGGAAGAAGACTCAAATTAAAAGAATTAGAAATTAAAAAGGAGAAGTAACAACTGACACTGCAGAAATACAAAAGATCATCAGAGAAAACTACAAGCAACTCTATGCCAATAAAAGGGACAACCTGGAAGAAACGGACAAATTCATAGAAAAGCACAACCTGCCAAGACTGAATCAGGAAGAAATAGAAAATATGAACAGACCAATCACAAGCACTGAAATTGAAACTGTGATTAAAAATCTTCCAACAAACAAAAGCCCAGGACCAGATGGCTTCACAGGCGAATTCTATCAAACATTTAGAGAAGAGCTAACAC